CTGACTATAATAAAATGCCAAATAATATAAAAAACTGTGATAACTTTAATAACTTTAAATCTTTGTTGAGGGAATATGTTGTGTCCAAATTTTAAATATCTGTAAATTGTTATGTCATCTTATTGAATTGTTATTTTATTGAACTACATATTGTATTATTATATTTGTTATACTTTTGTGTGGTCTCTCAATGTAGAAGAGATTGTTTTTGTATGTAGCCCAAAGCTAATAAATATACTATTATTATTATATTATTAAGTGATTTTTTACTGGAAAATTTTGAAATTTTCGTAAAATGAGCTCCTCATTTTCCTTTTATTCCTGGAAAATTTTCAAAATTTTCTCTTTGCAAGTTTTCTAGAAAAAAATTAAAATGTAAGAGGGTGAATTTTTTTTTAATTGCTTAAATAAGTCAATTTTTTAGAACATATTTGAAATTTCAGTCGTAAAAAAAAAGAATCACCCTTTGTCGTTTGTACATGATATTTAAGAACACCCTGTATAATACGCAGTTAATTAATTTATATATTTGGGACTCCAATGATTTTTTAAGAGCCGGTATTTCAATGTCACCTTAAGATATAGAATAAACATAGACATTGACAACATTGTCTGACCTTGTTCGATGACGTCATCCTAAATGTTAATATAAGATAAAAACCATATATTTTAAGGTACGTAAGTCTTGATTTTAACAATAATAATTGCGAACGTACTCTATGAATTAATCAACGACGTCATCGACACCGGCGTATCCAGCCCATGCGTCTGGGGGGGGGGTAATCAGCCCATTTTTTCCCGGGTGCCACGCCCAAAAACGTTTACTTTGAGCCTTCAAAAAAAAAAATTTCTACGAGAGTGAGGACAATTAAACAGTGCGGAAAATCGATTTTCTCGCACGGTGCGGCGAATTTTTTTCCGCACGGATATCGGTGCGGAAAAATCTAAATCTTTTCCGCATGGCTGTCAAAAAAAAATCAATAAATGACTACAAATTATGTAGGTATATGCAAGGCAGTGTTGTCAATCTGAATTTGTGAAATTGCACGATATGCTGGTAAAATTACACGTTTTTACACGCTTTCATTTTTCACAATTACATGATTTTGACACACGATCTTGGTACCCAATCTGTAACATCAAGAAGCAAGTTTTTCTTTTTGTGATTTTGGGAAATGGGTTAAATCGTTAATGCTTGATTGCACCGTCTCTCTTAACCGAGGCTTAGAGATAACTATTCCTTAAAGTGACATTTTCCCATGCAAAACTGTCAATTTAAGGGATAGTTATCGTTAAGCCTCAGTTAAGAGAGATGGTGCAATCGGGCATAAATCCAGTCAAATCTGAGGGTTAATGCTCCTGATCATAATTCCTCAACGAAAAATAAAAATGTGGCAATTACAGAAAAGCGTTCCGAAAGTAATCGAATTACTAATTACTGGTTCCTGGAAAAGAGGTTACTTTTGGACCTCAGTTTCCTGCAAGGATACTACACACTACTACTATAGGATAGTCTATCCTCATAAGGCCTGTGTAGTTCAATCTGAAGCCGCCGCTGCCATGCCAAAATATCAGTGATGACGTAGACAGCGTGTCGTTTCTCGTCTTCACGTAGGGTGTTTGTACCACAGGTTATGATTCCGCGGGCTTTTCCTTTATGCAAAACTTGGTTTCACTACATTAATTAATATTCTGAAACAACTCTTTCTCGTTTTTGGTAATCGCCGCCATAGGTATTGGTTTTCAACTGTTTTTCAACCATTGTCGACGTCATAACTAAGTTTTCAGCTGTTTAAACAGCCTACGTCAAGGCGAGAAACGCCATGCTGCTTACGACACAACTGGTTGTTTGGCTAAGGGGAGTAAAGGGGGATTTTTTACAAACAGGCCTTATGAGGATAAGCCATACTGTAGTAGTAGTAGTGTGCATCATCCTTGGGTATACAGTGTGTCCGAAATTCGAATCTCTATACGGGGATCTCGCTTATTATGAGAGATACAAGGTGGCTCAAATTAGGAAAGTTTTAGGGAATTTATTGCTCATTTATATCCTGTTGTTGAATTTGCTCCAAAGTTTTCTGTTTCCTAGAAATCCGAGAAAAACTGTAAATAGCCAATTTTGTTTTTTGTCAATAATTCATAAATCGTTAACTTTAGACTTTTCTCACTTTAACATTATTGAGACACTTTTTTGAGACAGATATTTTCGTGATTTGAAAACATTCCGATCGTCTTTTGTCTTCGAGTTATTAACAAAAATTTTCTTATTTCTTATGGCGGCCATCTTAGATTTCAACAAAATAATATTCTGCGAAAAAAATCCTTTAAAATGATGTATTACAAGCTATATATATAAGTAAGTACAAAAAGTGCAAAAAAAAATACATAAAATAATTTGGTTGCACTAATTTCTTATACAGTGTGTTTCAAAAGTCTGGGAACGGTCAAATATTTCCAGACCGGTTCGAAATAGATTAACGAAATTTTCTGCATATGGGTAATAAATGATGCCCGATTCAATGATGGCATCGACGATGTTGCCAAGTTCACTGGTTTTCAGATAATGTAGGTAACTTCGTTTTTTTTAAATAGGAATACCACTTCTTTTTCATTGCAATAAATTCGGCGCTCTATTGTTATTAAAACCTCTTGATATCATGTTCCTATTTTACACGGTTTCTGAAATATTGCAACACAGTCTTTTTGTTCAAAAGTCTGGGAACGGTCAAATATTTCCAGAGCGGCTTGAAATAGAATTACGAAATTTTCCGCATGTGGGTAATTAATGATGCCCAATTCAATGATGACATCGAGAATGTTGCCAAGTTTACAGGTTTTCAGGTAATGTAGGTAACTTTGTTTTTATTTTTATAGAAATACCACCTTATTTTTTAATACAATTTTGGTACTCTATTGTAAATGAAACCTCCTGATTTCAAATCCCCATTTCAAGCGGTTTTTAAAATGTGGCAACACAGACTTTTTGTTCAAAAGTTCGAGAACGGTGGAGTATTTTGACAAAGGCTTAAAATAGGATATTCAAAATTTGATGAAGTGAGGTTATTGTGATGCCGAATTCAATGATGGCATCAACAAATATCAAAATATCGATACTCTGGGATTCACTCAGTTCGAAATTCATTTTGACAAAACTTTGAAGGAACTTGACACATCTGAAAATCACCTCTACCACTGGAGAATAAACAAATGAATATCTAAATTTTTAGTTATTAAGCGTACGTGTATTCTATCATGCTATTGTTGTATTGTTGTATCAGGTAGGTATGAGTACAAATATTTTCACATGATATAATATGACCTATTTCAAGCTAAGACTGTCCTATTAAGGTTATTAATCATGAGTCAATTCTTAGTAGTTTCGGAATTATCGCAGGATTTCAAAAAAATGTTAACAACGTGACGACATTGTAGAGATAATCTCTACCAGGATATTAATCTAAATAAAACTGGTGAACTCTATTTTTTTGCAAGCATTTCATTTATTTCCACCTGTTTATGTTTTGGTTTATTATTCGCTTTCAAATAATGTTAATAATAATTTGCATTTTTATCTCTTTTCTAGTGGAAATAAAAAATGTGCCATTTTATTAAGTTGTGAATTGCACTCAATGACATTTTTGCACTGAACATTCAAGAGAAGAAATTTTACACACTTACACTTCCCATATCACGCATTCTTTGAGAAACGGGCACAATGTTCTTTCATCAGGTGGGTGCCCTTCTAATGGAAAATCTTTTCCTGTAAATTCTGGCAGCTAAATGAGTATTTTGCAATGATTTTGCCGAGGATTTTGCCTTAACAAGTATCTGCATATTCGAAGTTTGAGAAAATTTTATTTTCAACCACCTACTATTTTTATGCTATGTTGCCAAATGCTTAGATACCGAATTACGAGTGAAGGTGTCATGTTTTTTCAATTTTCAATTATTGTTGTTGACTAAAAATGATGAAGTTTATTTTTTTTTTATCTCATAATGATTAAGATTTTCTTTATCTTCCTAATATTTGTCAAAAATTGTTATAACTTTAAAGATCTTTTTATTAAAAATTATTGAGTTTCCACGTCATATTATAAAATTTTTTTTTGTTCAAACTTTTGTAGTCAAACCTGATACACCCTGTATAAAATATCAATTTATATTCGACAACCAGTTTCTTTAGTGATATTTTTGCCGGTATTATAAAGATAGACAGATAAAATATTTTCCTGGGGTAAAATTTTCTCAAATCTCGAATTGACCCCCAGAAAATATAATCCTACTTTCAGTTGTTTTAAACATTTGACCGTTCCTAGACTTTTGAACAAAAAGGCTATGTTGCAATATCCCAGAAACCGTGTAAAATAGGGACATGATATCAAGATGTTTTAATAACAATAAAGCGCCGAATATATTGCAATGAAAATAAAGTGATATCCCTATTAAAAAAAAAAAAACGAAATTACCTACATTATCTGAAAACCGGTAAACTTGGCATCATTGTCCATATCATCATTGAATCGGGCATCATTAATTACCCATATGCAAAAAATTTCGTAATTCTATGTCAAGCCACTCTGGAAATATTTGACCGTTCCCAGACTTTTGAAACACACTGTATAAGTGTTAGGGATGCCGAATAGGAGTGCTAATTTTTGCTTTAGGGGTGCTTAGCACCCCCAAGCATTCCCCTAGTTGCGCCTATGGTGATAAATTTACCTGCACCTGTGGACATCGGATTGTGAACAGGATATAATTATTCATACCACTTTTGAAAATGGTGAATTCAACGTTTAAATAAAAATACCTAATAAAAAATTTTAGGAGTGTTTTTTGAACGACTTTTGGGTCGAAATTTGGGTTACTCAAAAAAAAATTTAGCCTCCAGCGGGGGGCTTGTGATGGGCTCGCAGAAATTTTGGCACACAGGCCCGGAGCTGGGTTGATACGCTACTGGTCCCAGCCCAGGTAAGTCAATTACAGAAATCTACAATAATTACCTCAAAATACTCTCCATCACTCCCGGTACCCCTTCCATAATTTGTGGCAGCATTGGTTCCATGTGCTTCTGACATCCTTCGCCAATGGCGCTGATTGCCATCAAGGCAGCATGTTTCTGTTTCCAATCGGGATGACTGAGCATGCGCGGCATGTTTGCGGTAACCAAAGGCAAAACGACTTTGCCGCCCAATCCGCAGGCCAACCGATCTAACGCCCCTTCTGCTACTACATTATTACAATCATTATCCTCATCCAATAGCTCATCAGACTCCGCCCAATTGTCTTCCTCTTCTAAATCCGCCATAAATTGCAGGATAAGTGGAACTAATTGTTCTACATATTTGCCGGCAAGTTTGCGTACCATTGCTGGTGCCATTTCAGCTAAAGTAACCATTACTTCTAAGGCAAGGATTCTCCAACTATCCAAAGCACTGGGGTCACTGAACAGTTTCATACACATGTCGTAGATGTTCAGCAATTGAGGCCTTAAAAATTTGGGGGTGGTTTCAGCCAATTCAATCAAAACCTTCAACAAACTATCATCATCTTGTTGCTGAATACTTTCAGCAATGGCCATAAGCATTGGAGCCAGCAAATCAGCAAAATGTTTCAAGATTTGTGTTTCCTTGTCGTTGCTGGATATGAAAGCGCCTACAGCTCGTACAGCTTGAAATCTGACCTCGTAGGATTCAGCGTTTTGTAAGCTTTGCAACAACATCTGTTTAATAAGATCCAGGTAGTTGTTTTGCTGGTTGCCAAATACTGTTGGGATGCTGGTGAACATTGTGAGTGCAGCTTCTTTCATCATCGGACTCGGATCGTTGGCGCAATGGAAGAGAAACTGGAAATAAATTGCGAAATTTTTCTAGAAATTCCATAAACATAACATATAATTTCAATTTTCTGAGAGTTGGTACAACCCTGTAGATTCTCGATATGGAACTAATACCATGAAAAGTATAAATAAATAAAACAAATGTCGTCTTTATTCAACTTAATACAAATACATACATTTGAAACTATCCGATCAAGCTGTCTTAAATGTGTCAATGTTCCATAACGTACTCTTTGACAAGAAAATAACAGCAGCATTTTTTATTATACAATGTATTGAAAAGAGACAAATATAACTTGCCTATTTTTACTTTTAACTGCCAAATTAAATCACTGTTGTCAACTACTATTGACAGCCAATAACAATATGAATGAAAGATCTAGGCATCATAGAAAAATTACTCACCTGTAAAAATTCTGGCCATTGATTGTTTCCATCATCATCGATCATATTCCGAGCCACTTCAGCTACGACTTCGCAAACTTTGTGTCTCAGATTTTCAGTTCGCACTTGCTGTACGGCTAGCAAAACTTGTTCTTTGAGCTGTGCCTGACTTTCTGGAGGCAATTTGGGGTAAAAGGTTGCAAAGTCGTTGGAGAAAATGCGGCGCAGTAGTACCGCTGACATTTGACGTGCGTCGTCGCCCAGGCTGGCATTGTGAATGGCGCTTAACAGGTGGCTGATTTTCGATTCCACCGGTAGATTGGAGTAGGCTTCCTAAAATATCAAAAATACTTTGTTTATTTAGAATTTATTAAAATTATGCGGAATTCCATGAATATTATGCAAAATTTCATAAAAATTATGCAGAATTTATGCGAAAAATTATGCAGAATTTCAATGACTTTATTCTGTATTCCATTGAAATTATTCAAAATTTCATTGAAATTATGCTGGATTCTATAGAAAATAAATAAAAATTATACGGAATTTCAACAAAATTACAAGAAATTCCATAAAAATACCAACACGTATTTTTCAATTTATAATTATTAACAACTTTTGAATTCGAAATTTGGAGGTTGTAGCAACACGATTTTTTTTGTAGCAACCCAATTTTTTTGTAGCATAAAATTTAATTTTGATAATTCAATGTAACAACACCGATTTTGCAATTTGTTGCTAATAAGTAAGTGAAATATGTCTAAAACTAATTTAGTTTGGCTCTTGGAGGCGAAATGTAGCAACACGATTTTTTGTAGCAACACATGTTATTTCGATGTAGCAACACGAATTTTGCAATTTGTTATTATAACCGGCTGTTGGGGCGAAATTTAAAAATTGCAGCAACACGAATTTTCTTGTAGCAACAAGTAAGATTTCGTTATTCTGATGTAGCAACACATATTTTTTAATTTGAAATTATTATTTTTGCAATTTGTTGCTATTACCAGCTCTTGAAGACGAAATTTAAAAATTGTAGCAACACGAATTTTTTTGTAACAGAAAGTGTAGTTTTGATATTTCAATATAGCAACACGGATTTTGTAATTTATTATTTATTACCGGCTCTTGAAGAAGAAATTTAAAAATTGTAGCAACACGATTTTTTTGTAGCAACAAGTGTAATATCGACATTTCGATGTAGCAAGATGGATTTTGCAATTTGCTGCTATTACCAGCTCTAAACAGCGAAATTTAAAAATTGTAGCAACACGAATTTTTCTGTAGCAAAAAGTGTAATTTCGTCATTTCGATGTAGCAACACATATTTTTCAATTTGTAATTATTAACGGCTTTTGAATTCGAAATTTGGAGTTTGTAGCAACAAGTATAATTTCGATGTAGTAACAATACGAACTTTGCAATTTGTTGCTATTACCGGCTCTTGGAGGTGAAATTTAAAAATTGTAGCAACATGATTGTGCCTGTAACAACAAATGTAATTTCGGCATAGCAACACGGATTTTGCAATTTGTTGCCATTACCGGCTCTTAAAGGCGAAATTTAAAAATTGTAACAACACGGTTTTTTTGTAGCAACAAGTGTAATTTTGATACTTTAATATAGCAACACGATTTTTTGTAGCAACAAATGTAGCTTCGTCATTTCAATGTAGCAACACATATTTTTCGATTTGTAATTGCTAACGGATCATGAAATTTGGCGGTTGTAGCAACACGGAATTTTTTTGTAGCTACCCATTTTTTTTGTACCAACAAGTCTAATTTTGATATTTCAATGTAGCAACACCGATTTTGCAATTTGTTGCTATTACTGGCACTTGGAGAAGTAATTTAAAAAATGTAGCAACACAAATGTTAACAAGTGTAAATTTGATATTTCAAAATAGCAACACGGATTTTGCAATTTGTTGCTATTACTGGCTCTTGGAGGCGAAATTCAAAAATTGTAGCAATACATATTTCTGAATTTGTAATTATTAACGGCTTTTGAATTCGAAATATAGAAGTTGTAGCAACTCGGAATTTTGTGTAGCAACAGTTTAATTTTGATATTTTAATGTAACAACACGGATTTTACAATTTGTTGCTATTAGCGGCTCTTGGGGGCGAAATTTGAAAATTGTAGCAACACGTTTTTTTCTGTAGCAACAAGTGTATTTTTTTAAATTTCAATATAGCAACACGGATTTTACAATTTGTTGCTATTAGCGGCTCTTGGGGGCGAAATTTGAAAATTGTAGCAACACGTTTTTTTCTGTAGCAACAAGTGTATTTTTTTAAATTTCAATATAGCAACACGGATTTTACAATTTGTTGCTATTAGCGGCTCTTGGGGGCGAAATTTGAAAATTGCAGCAACACGATTTTTTTTTGCAGCAATAAATGTAATTTCGTCGTTTCGATGTAGCAACACATATTTTTCAATTTGTAATTATTAACGGCTTTTGAATTCGAAATTTGGAGGTTGTAGCAACATGGAATTTTTTGTAACAATCCATTTTTTTTGGAGGTAACAAGTGTCATTTCGACATTTCGATGTAGCAATACGAATTTTGCAATTTGTTTCTATTACTGGATCTCCGAAGCGAAATTTAAGAATTGGAGCAACACGATTTTTTGTAGCAACAAATGTAATTTCGATGTAGCAACATATATTTTTCAATTTGTTGTTATTATTGGCCCTTAAAGACGAAATTTAAAAATTGTAGCTACACGATTTTTTTGTAGCAACAGGTTTCATTTTGATATTTCAATGTAGCAACACGGATTTTGCAATTTGTCGCTATTAGCAGCTCTTGGAGACAAAATTTGGAAATTGTAGCAACACGAATTTTTTTGTAGCAACAAGTATTATTTCGACATTTCGATGCAACAACAAATACTTTTCAATTTTTTGCTATTACCGGTTTTCAAAGGTAAAATTTAAAAATTGTAGCAACACGATTTTTTGTAGCAACAAGTGCAATTTTGATATTCCAATATAGCAACACGGATGTTGAAATTTGTTGCTACTATCGGCTTTTGGAGGCGCAATTAAAAAATTGTAGCAACACGATTTTTTTGTAGCAACAAATGTAATTTTGATGTGGCAACATATATTTTTCAATTTGTTATTATCGGCCCTTAAAGACGAAATTTAAAAAATGTAGCTACATGATTTTTTTGTAGCAACAGGTTTCATTTTGATATTTCAATGTAGCAACACGGATTTTGCAATTTGTCGCTATTAGCAGCTCTTGGAGACAAAATTTGGAAATTGTAGCAACACGAATTTTTTTGTAGCAACAAGTATTATTTCGACATTTCGATGTAACAACAAATACTTTTCAATTTGTTGCTATTACCGGTCCTCAAAGGTAAAATTTAAAAATTGTAGCAACACGATTTTTTGTAGCAACAAGTGTAATTTTGATATTCCAATATAGCAACACGGATGTTGCAATTTGTTGCTACATCGGCTCTTGGAGGTGAAATTGCAAAATTTTAACCAAACAATTTTTTTGTAGCAACAAGTGTAATTTCGTCATTTTGATGTAGCAACACATATATTTCAATTATTTTATTACTAACAGCTTTGAATTCGAAATTTGGAGGTTGTAACGACACGGAATTTTCTGTAGCAACCCATTTTTTTTTGTAGCAACAAGTTTAATTTTGATATTTCAATGTTTATTTTTTAATTTGTAATTATTCACGGCTTTTGAATTCGAAATTTGGAGGTTGTAGCAACACGGAGTTTTTTCTAGCAACCCAATTTTTTTTTTTGTAGCAAAAAGTTTATTTTTAATGTTTCACTGTAGCAACACCAATTTTGCAATTTATTGCTATCACCGGCGCTTGAAGACGAAATTTGAAAAATGTAGCAAAATAATTTTTTTGTAGCAACAAATGTTGTTTCGACATTTCGATGTAGCAACACGGATTTTGCAACTTGTTGCTATTAGCGGCTCTTAGAGGTGAAATTTAAAAATCATAGCAACACGATTTTTTTGTAACAAGTGTTATTTCAACATTCCGATGTAGCAACATATATTTTCCAATTTGTTGCTATTACCTGCTCTAAAAGACGAAATTTAAAAATTGTAGCAACACGAATTTTTTTGTAGCAACAAGTGTAATTTCGATATTTCAATATAGCAACACGGATTTTGCTATTTGTTTCTATTACTGGATCTTCGAAGCGAATTTTAAAAATTGTAGCAATATGAATTTTTTGTAGCAACACGAATTTCTTTGTAGTGTAATTTTGACATTTCAATGTAGCAACATATATTTTTCAATTTGTTGCTATTACCGGCCCTTAAAGACGAAATTTAAAAATTGTAGCAAAACGATTTTTTCTGTAGCAACAAATGTAATTTTGATATTTCAATATAGCAACACGGATTTTGCAATTTGTTGCTATCACCGGCTCTTGGAGACGAAATTTAAAAATTGTGGCGACATGATTTTTTTTGTAGCAACAATTGTAATTTCGTTGTTTCGATGTAGTAACACATATTTTTCAATTTGTTGTTATACCTGGCCCTTAAAGACGAAATTTGAAAATTGTAGCAATACGATTTTTTGTAGCAATAAGTGTAATTTCGATGTAGCAACACGGATTTTGCAATTTGTTGCTATTACTGGCTCTAAGGCCCAGTTGTACAATCTCGGTTTAAAACAAAGTTCAACTGAACTCGACTGGTACTTGAGGTTTCCCATTTAAAATCCATTGCTGTCAGCTATTAATCAAATTCTATCATTTTTGACAGCAATGCATTTCAAATGGGGAAGTTCAAGTACCAGTCGAGTTTAGCTGAACTCTGTTTTGAACCAAGATTGTACAAGTGGACCTTAGGGGCGAAATTTAAAAATTGTAGCAACACGAGTTTTTCTGTAGCAAAAAGTGAAATTTCGTCATATTGATGTAGCAACACATATTTTTCAATTTGTAATTATTAACGGCTTTTAAATTCGAAATTTGAAGGTTGTAGCAACACGGAATTATTTGTAGCAACAAGTGTAATTTTGATATTTCAATGTAGCAACACGGATTTTTCAATAACGATTTTGCAACAACGATATAGGAAATTGATAAAGTGGGATAAAAAAAAATGGGACACTAATTTTTTTAAAGTTTTGAATGACTTAATAAGTTTTAAATAGGAAAGTTTAAGAGGACATAGGAAACTCAATGAGTAAGAAAGAGACAGATATAAAGTAGGATATAAAAATTGTAACACGAATTTTGATTATTCTTGGTGCTCGAGTGTACTTGTAATTTTTGTGTTTGACCAATCGAAAGCCTGGAACGATAAGAGAAAGATAACGATATAAGAAATTCAATGAAAAAGAGAAAGATGGAGACATAATAAAATTACAATGTATTGATATTTTCATTATTTTTGGTGTTTGAGTGACTCAACAATGGGCTTGAAATGAGAGAGTGAGAGACAATATAGAAAACACACTAAGTAAGAAAAAGACAGACATAAAGTGGCAAATAATAATTTGTAACACGAAATAAATTAAAATATCTATATAACCAATCAAGAGCCTGGAAAAATAAAGTAGATAATAGATATAGAAAAATTGAATAAGTGAGAAAGAAACTGAGATAAAAGTAGGATATAAAAAAATGCATTTGGCTCCGAATGACAAATCATGGGCTTGAAATAAGAGAGTGAGACACAAGATAAAATCCACAATAAGTAAGAAAGAGACCAACATAAGTAGGATAGATTGGAATTATGATTTTTCAAAAGCCTGGAATAGACAAAAGTTGAAATATCTTTTAAAACTCTGGTTAACATTGAGATTGAAAACAATTCGTTCAAAAACAATGAGATAAGCCAATTAAAATTATGCAGAATTCCATACATATTATGCGAAATTCTATAAAAATTATGCAGAATTTTAACAATCCTGTAATATCCTTGCAATCTAGCGACCTGTCAAAACAATTCAATATGGCGGCAAAGGTCAAACATCTGTGATGTGTGTTGGTTTATACATTACGAAAATTATCCTTTCTTAATCAAAAGAAAATTTCTTTGAAATCTCCACAAAATACACAGTGAACAGTTTTATGACAACAAAACTTCACTGAAGGTAAATTAAATCCTTGGCGCCAATTTTATTGTTCAACCATGGATTGCCCATTAGACAATGCGACGTTGCCAAACTGACTTCAGTAACAGGACACAGATTCTTAACTGTGGTGCAACAGAAAAAACATATCAATCTTGGAAATCAACAATGGCAAAGACAATCTGACAACGTTACAATATTTATTAATTTGCAGTGTACTTATTGCTAGTTGTAGCGAATGACGTCATATTCGGCGGGTATTTTGAGCCTTTTGGGCCAACCTTACAAAAAAGTAGGGTTACGATTCCTTCTTTTATTTTTTTTAAACTACTCTAGCCTAGCACCTTTAAACCTTAAAATACCCTTCTTGAAAGCTTTTCTAGCCCTTCATAGGAGGTTGTTTTTCATTTCCACATATATTTCAATTGGTTTTTCACAGCTAAAAAACAATTAACCTCCTCCATAAGAAAAACGTGCCAACGAGCTTTTTAAATAGAACCCAAAAAAGATGATTCACTTCCTGATTAATATAAACCAAAGTGCAATTAAATTCAAACACGTTGCTGATTGAAGCGCAACTTGTGCGAGATGTAAATAGTGTCTCTAGTAAGTTTCGGTTTGGATTTGAAGCTGGAAAAATGGACGTAAAGTGGACCTACCTCTGCTTGCACTCGGATGTCGTTATCGGTGGACAAAAGGGTCGTCAGTAGCTGGTAAAAATGTTCTTGGTCGGCGGCCATGGCGCCCGATTAAACGTGAAAAGGAATTTTTGTTGGGTAGATTTTGACAGGAGAGACAGGCGCCAAAACAACCACCGATGGTTTTTGTGTGACAAGTCGTTTGACGTAAAACAATGTTGCCAACTTTTAAGATTGTGCTTTTTGAAAACGCCTAATTGGAAACATAACCTAACTTTTTGTTATTTGTTTAGTAAATATTAAAATTATTATAAATAATGGATTAGTTTTATTACTAATTATTTAAAATGGAGCTAAAGTGCTTGAATACAATCGATTGTAATCAAGGGGGTGTACGAGCGGTTCGTTTCAATGGTAAGTTAATTTGTTCATTAATATTTTTATTTAATTTTAGAGCTTTGACCCAAAAAATGTATACAAATTACAGGAATCTGTAATTTGTTTATCGATATTTACTCTGGAATCGATAAAAGGTGTAGTTTTTAATAATAGTTTCGTTCACAATTTGCACTCGGAACACTTTTGGAACTATTTCGTAAACACGCAATTCAAATTCCGAATTTTTAGTTACTGTTCTCTGCTCGCAGTTCAACTAGAATCGGTTCCGAAATGATTCTAAACCGTTCAGAGTTTTTGTTCTCTGTTCCAAAATCGTTCACAGTAAAACACATATCTTGAACTAGCTCATAATCGGGTATGCGTTCCATTATATTGTCCTGAAACGATTCTTGGTGCTGAACTAGTAGCTTTGTTTGCGATTAGGATTCAGAACTGACTCGGAACTAATTTGCATGCGCAAATTTAAATTTAGAACGTTCACGGATCATAAAATTCCAAAGTTCCACAGTTCTTTGTTTGGGATTCAGCTAGAATAGGTTCCGAAAAGTAACTAGTTTTCATTTTCTGTTCCGAAATCCTCTCAGAGTGAACTAAAAATCTTGGAACTAGTAATATGCGCTCTAAAGTTGTGTTCGGAATGGGATTTCAGTGCAGTGCTAGTGCGGTGTTCGTGTATTGCAGCGTTATGTTATATCACGTGACGAAGGTGTAATCGGCGGTGTAACACCAAATACACCATCATTTTTTACCGGGTAAACGGTGTCCCACATCTTCACACCTTTCGGACACCAACTTATTTCTAAACGCACATAAAGTGTACACCAAACTTACTCCTACCAATTTACGAACGCGATAGTGTCAATAGTTTAAAAAGTGTCGACACTTTCTACCCTTCCGAACTGACCTTTAGATAATCCTGAACTACATAGTTCCAAATTGGTTCAGAATGTGATCCACAAACTGTACCCGATTGATCAAAAAGCAATCCGAACCGAGTAAAGTAAAAAATCTTGACCTGGTTCATATTTGGGTATGTGTTCTATAATCTTGGCGTGATTCCGATTGTGATCCAAGAACAAAGTTTCGCTCGCAATGATTTGGAACCATTCTGCAAAAACAAATCAAATAATCGCATTCCAGGATCACAGAATTCCAAATTTTTCGCCCAAGTTCTATGTTCGCGGTTTAACTAGAATCGGTTCGAAAACGATTCTGAACAGTTCCGAATTTTCGTTTTCTGTTTCTAAATTGTTCAGAGCGAAATAAAAATCTTGAACTGGTTCATATTTGGATATGCGCTCTATAATCTTGGAGTGGTTCCGAATATGATTCAAGAACAAAGTTTCGTACGCAATGATTCGGAACCATTGTACAAGAACAAATCAAATTATCGCATTCCAGGATCAAAAAATTCCAAATTTCTAGTTTAAATTCTATGATCCAAAATGATTCTGAACAGTTCAGTGTTTTTCTTTTTTTGTACCGAAATCGTTCCAAGCAAAATACAAATCTTGAACTAGTTCATATTTTGTGTATGCGCTCTATAATCTTAGCGTAGTTCCGAATGTGATCCAAGAACAAAGTTTCGTTCGCAAATGATTTGGAACTTGGAACTATTCTGCAAATCAAATTATCGCATCCCAAGATATCACTTCAGAATCGGTTTCGAAATGATTCTCAACAGTTCCGAATTTTCGTGTTCTGTTCCGAGTAAAAGAAAAATCTTGAACTATACTCTGTCCAACCAACCTACGGAGTGAAAAACAACAAAATCTTCAAAACTGTTGGTTATTTATCAGCACGCTTTACCATCGAACTGTGTTTATAGCGTTTTGGTTTATTAAGAACTACATAAGAACAATTCTGGGATTGTTCTAAAACGATTCTCTCAGTTCTTACTCTGAAGGCGGAACTGTTTTGGAATCTTGTGATTTGCGGCTTGTTTTGGTTTTTTTGGTTCCGAATCGGTTCAGAAATAGTATTAGAAAAGTCCTCCTTTTTTTTTTGTGGGCAAGTAGTACTTTACGATCCCAGAACCGTTCCAAGTTCCAGATTTCGAACCAAAACAAAGCTATGGAGCGCATACCTAATTCTAAACCAGTCAAAGTTTTTTATTTTACTCTGAACGACTTCAGAACAAAAAAAATAAAACTCCGAACTGTTTAGAGTCGTTTCGGAACCGATTTCTGTTGAACTGCGAACAAAGGACTGAACTTGATAATGTCGAATTTTGTGAACTAGTTTTGAATCCTTATCGCAAACGAAGCTATCAACTTTGCTCTTGGATCACATTTTGAACCAATTTGATTTTTTTTTTTATCACAGAGCGCATTCTGAACCAGTTCAAGATTTTTATCAAAATTTTACTCGGAACAAAAACAAAAATTCGTAACTGTTCAGAATCGTTTCGGAATCAATCTTGTTCGCGAAATATCAACCGAGAATTCGCGCATGCGAAATAATTCCAAATTAGATCAGCGAACGGAGTTATTAAATTTATTTGTGGATCACATTCCAAACCAATTTGGAACTAGTTCAGATTTATCATAGATTGCCTATCTAATTTTGAGCCAGTTCAAGATTTTTATACTCTGAACGACTTTAGAACTAAAACTTAAAACATTTCGGAATCGATTCTAGTCGAATTGCGAGCAAAGAGCTGTAAATCAAAATTCCTAATTTTGTGATCCGCGAACACTATAATGTGAATGCGCATGCGAACTACTTCTGAATCTCACTCACTAGTTCGGAATCAGTCTGCACATGCGCGTTTTCGTGTTTTCAGAATCGAATTTGAACTGTGTTAGAGGGTTTCGGATGATTTAAAACTGAATAAGAACAACTCGGAGATTGTTCTAGAACGGTTCTGATAGTTTTTGTTCAGGTAAACGTGAACAAAGAACTGACTTTAAAAATTCCAATTTTGAGAAACTACGCTTGCGAAATGGTTCCGAATCAGTTCTAAATAATTCTTACTGCGAACAAAATTATTAACTCAATACACATTCCGAACCAAATTGGAACTAGTTCAAGAATATCTTAGAGCACATACCTGAACCAGGTCAGAGTTGTTTTTTTTTTTTTTACTCTGTACAATTTTGGAATCGAAAACAACGAAAACTAGGAATTGTTCCGAATCGTTTCGGAACCGAACAAGCATGCATACTAATTCCAAATCAGTTCTGAATCCTGATCGCGAATAGAGCTACTAGTTCAGGAATATCATGGAACATGGAATGGATACCTAATCATGAACCAGTTTAAGATTTTGATTTTACTCCGAACGATTTCGGAACAAAAAACAAATACTCAGAACCTTTAGAATCGTTTTGGAACCGATTCTAGTTGAACCTCGAACAAAGAACTGGAACTATAAATTTGGAATTTTATGATTTATAAACGTCATAAATTGAACTGAGCATGTGAACTAGTTCCGGATCAGTTTTGAATTCTTATCGCTAATAGAGCCATTAGTTCGAGAATATTGTGGAACATCGAATGCACACCTGATTATGAGCCAGTTCAAGACTTTTAATTTACGCCGAATAATTTCGGAATAGTAAACAAAAACTCGGAACAGTTTAGAATCGTTTCGGAACAGATTCTAGTTGAACTACTAACAAAATTATATAGTTCTAAATATTCCAAAACGCTGTTAACACAGTTCGATTCCGATTCTAAGAAAACATTAAAATGTTCAGTTAGAACCGGCTCCAAAATGATTCTAAATGGTTCTGAGTATGTAAAGTTGAAATAAGAACGTCTAAGAACTTTACATTTTCCTATTCCGGAACTGTTCGAAGTGAAATTGAATTCTTGAACTGGTTCATAATTGTTCCGAATTTTTGGTTACGAACGTGGATTAACCAAAATTGGTTCCGAATTGATTTTGAACAAGTTTTATCCGTTCTAGAATTTTAATGAGATTTTCAAGTTTGAAACATACACTAACGCCGTTTTAAATGGAATGCATCTTTCAAGTTCTCGTTTCTTGTTCCGGAACTGTTTACAATATAAGCATCATTCGTGATTTGCATTCTGCTGTTCTTTGTTCGTACTTCAACTAGAATTGGTTTCGAAACGATTCTAAACTGTTCCGAGTTTTTGTTTTCTGTTCCAAAATCGTTTGGAGTAAAATAGAAATCTTCAACTGGCTCTTAATCAGGTATATGTTCTAAGATATTTATGAACTACTAAGTTTGTCCTCGATCGATTCAGAACTGATCCGGAACTATTACGCATCCTGAGTTCATATCATGGCGATCGCAGATTATAAAAATCCGAATCAACTCTTTGTTCGCAGTTTAACCAGAATCGACTCCGAACAAATCCGAGCTTTAGTTTTTTTATTTCAAAATGTTTCGGAGTAAAATAAAAACCATGAACTAGTTTTAATTAAGTATGCGTTTTATGGTATTTATTCCTGAACTAGTAAATTTGTTCTAGATCGAACTAGAACTGATCTGGAACTATTACGCATCCTCAATTCAAATTATGGCGTTCGCAGATTATAAAAATCCGAATCAGTTCTTTGTTCGCGGTTCAACTAGAATCGACTCCGAACAGATCCGAGCTTTCGTTTTTTTATTTTAAAATCATTCGGAGTAAAATAAAAACCATGAACTAGCTCTAATTGAGTATGCGCTCTATAGTATTTATTCCTGAACCCTGAACTAGTAAATTTGTTCTAGATCGATTCAGAACTGATCTGGAACTATTACGCATCCTCAATTCAAATTATAGCGTTCGCAGATCATGAAAATCCGAATCCTTTCTTTGTTCGCGGTTCAACTAGAATCGACTCCGAACAGATCCGAGCTTTCATTTTTTTATTTTAAAATCGTTCGGAGTAAAATAAAAACCATGAACTAGCTCTAATTGAGTATGTGTTCTATAGTATTTATTCCTGAACTAGTAAATTTGTTCTAGATCGAACTAGAACTGATCTGAAAGTATTACGCATCCTCAATTCAAATTATGGTGTTCGCAGATCATAAAAATCCGAATTAATTTTTTGTTCGCGGTTCAACTAGAATCGGCTCCGAACAGATCCGAGCTTTCGTTTTTTTATTTCAAAATCGTTCGGAGTAAAATAAGAACCATGAACTAGCTCTAATTGAGTATGCGCTCTAAAGTATTTATTCCTGAACTAGTAAATTTGTTCTAGATCGAACCAGAACTGATCTGGAACTATTACGCATCCTCAATTCAAATTATGGCGTTCGCAGATTATAAAAATCCGAATCAGTTCTTTGTTCGCGGTTCAACTGGAATCGGCTCCGAACAGATCCGAGTTTTTCGTTTTTTTATTTCAAAATCATTCGGAGTAAAATAAAAACCATGAACTAGCTCTAATTGAGTATGCGCTCTATAGTATTTATTCCTGAACCCTGAACTAGTAAATTTGTTCTAGATCGATTCAGAACTGATCTAACTAGAATCGACTCCGAACAGATCCGAGTTTTCGTTTTCTATTCCAAAATCGTTCAGAGTAAAACAAAAAAACTTTGACCTGGTTCAGGATCAGCTATCTGCTCTAAGATAATTCTGAACTAGTTCTAAATTGGTTCGGAATGCGATCCACGTAAAGAGTTAATAATTTCGTTCGCAATAAGGATTTAGAACAGACTCGGAGCCATTTTGCGAGCGCAGTTACCCAATATTCGGAATGCTTAGTCACAGTTCGTTGTTCGCGATTCAACAAGAATTTGTTCCGAAATGATTCTAAAAAGTTCTGACTCTTGGTTTTCTGTTCCGAAGTCGTTCAGAGTGAAATCAAAATCTTGAATATATTCAAAATTAAGTATGCCGTTTAAAGTTTTGTTTTGGTTTGAAATTTGGAACGGTTCTGGGTTCGCACAGCGCTTGGAGCACTGTTCTAATACTAGTTTGAACCCATTCAGATCCAAAATAAACCGCAATTCACGAAATTCCAAAACAAATCCTTCTTCGGAGCAAGAACAATCAGAACTGTTCTAAAACAAGTCCGATAACAATTCTAAAAAAGCGAAAAACGCTTATTTCGACTTTACATTTTTATGTTCCGAAATCGGTTGGGGTAAAATTGAATGCTTGAACTGGTTCATAACTGTTCCAAATTTTTGGTTCCGAACGTGCAAGGACGTTACACACTACTACTACAGGATAGCCTATCCTCATAAGGCCCGTGCAGTTCAAATCTCAAGCCCTTTGCCATGCCAAAGTACCAGCGATGACGTATACAGCATGTTATTTCTCGCTTTGACGTGACACACCAATATGGCGGCGATCCTTGACGAACGTGGACCAACCAGAATCGATTCCGAACTGATTCTAAATAAGTTTTATCGGCTCTAGAATTGTAATGAGAAATCCAAGTTTTCCGTTTTCAACTTCTTGTTTCTTGCTCCGGAACTGTTTACGGTGAAAACAAATCCTGAATCAATTTATAGTAGGCCATGGATTCTGAAAAATCGAGCTGCGACATCTAGCGGCAAATATTCTTTTTAATAGGCGTTTTCTTTTGTCTCTACTCCAACAGTTGATGGTTCCTATTGTCTCACCTGCGGCTCGGACAAGAAAATCAAATTGTGGAACCCCTACAAAAAGTTACTTCTAAAAACCTATGGCGGACACGGAAATGAAGTATTGGACGCTTGCGGCTCCTGCGACAGTAGCCAAATAGTCTCCTGCTCATCCGACAAATCTGTCATAAGTAAAATCAAAATCAATTATTGACAACTGTCACTTGTCAACTTTTTTTTTTAGTTTGGGACGTGTCAACGGGCCAACCGCTACGTCGGTTGCGAGGCCACGCGTCAACAGTGTCATGCGTCAAATTTAACGAAGAATCTTCTGTCGTCATTTCCGGTAGTCACGACAACACTGTCATGTGTTGGGACGCGCGCTCACGCAACCAAACGGCATTTCAAACATTGAAAGAAGCCAAGGATTGCGTCAATTCTATCAAGGTCAGCGAACACGAGATTTTGACCGGTTCGGTTGATTGTTCGGTACGTCGGTACGATTTGAGAAATGGCAGATGCGATACCGATTTTGTTGGAGGTAATTTTGACAATTAATTGACAGATGACGTTTGATGGTTTTTTTTTTAGCCGCCATTACTGCTGTCAGTTTTTCGCACGATAATCAATGCGTTTTGGTTAGTTCTTCGGACAATGTTGTCAGATTGTTGGACAAAAATAGTGGAGAATTACTCGGAGAGTAAGTAATTTTAATATTAAATAACCACACTGCACTGATAACTGTAGGTACACAGGACACAGGATTGCCAACTTAAACATCGAAAGTGACATTTTGACAAATGACAATTTCGTACTGTCAGGCTCGGCCAATGGCGACCTCTGGTGTTGGGACTTGGTCACTGGTAAAGTGACAAATAAATTCACGCATGCGCGTAATAAGGCCTTGAATTCGTTGAGCGTACATCCTACTAAGGACATTGTCCTTACCGGCTGCGTCACTACGATAAAATTGTGGGGAGAGGAAGATTTAGTTGAAGAAGAATTGATTTGTGAATAAAATTCAAAATTCCAGTGTTGCCAAAAATTTTATTTTTCCAAGCACCAAACAATATATTCAACCAATCACAGACTGTTAACAATTGACTATGATGGCGGCCATATTGATTGTCAACAAAAACCAATATGGCCGCCAAAGTAGGGTTAAGTAAATACAATAATAATAAGTAAAACGATTATAAAAATTGAGCTTTATTCGAGTTGGCCAATGACGTCAGAGCCTCTGCAGCGTCTAGTTCTTCTTTTCCGTGAAGTAAAAATGTCATTTTCTTCTTTTTTTGAGGCTTTTCGAAGCAGTAGTCGATATAGTTGCCCTCTTCCGGCCGGAATTTTTCCGCACTTTGCAGCCATTTTGCAATCATTGACGGCTTGTCCATTTCCGGATTTTGCTGACGACAATCCCTCATGTACTTTTCCATTATGTGATTTTTGTACTTCACTGACTGAGAAAACGGATTACTGTCCATTTCTGTTGTCGAACTGACGTAGTAGCATTGATTTTGCGTGTCACTAAAACAAATGTCAATTGTCAAAATTGTCAAAAAACTTCTAAAAAAAAGTAGAAACCTGTTATTGTTGTTATACAAGTGACTTTTGACGTATTGGTGTTCGAACTCTGGTTCCTCCCAAATGCTGTCTTCGGAGCAAATGCTGAAATGTTCGACGTTGCCATGCACTTGGTTGTTGTACGTTTTGATCAGGTCGCCCCAAGTGCGACGTTGCGGCTCTTTGCCCGCGTTCTTCAGCTTTCTGCGCCAATTTGCGAACCAATTGCACACCTACGAAGAAAATTTGATCAGTTTGGCAACATTGACAAATTCAAATTTGAATGTTGGTAGCACTGTTTGAATTCGTACAATGTTGCCAATATCAAAAATTCAAGTTACCTGTATATAAGTCAGTCCTGTTTGTACAGCCAGGATTTTTTTCTCGTCCCTGTTCGGGTAAGGGTTTTCTCTGCGCCTGACTAGCCAATCTTTGAGGAATTTTTTGATTTCGGGCGTGAACAATCTTTTGGGCGGTCGTTTTTCTTCGCCGTACGCCCTCCTTTAAAAGATAAGTATGATTTTAGCAATAAAATTTAAAAACACTAGTAAAAGAATGGAAAACCATGCATTTTGATATCGAGTTGGCAACGTTGTGCTGTCGAAAGTGTCAATGATTCAATGATTGACAGTGGTTAGGAAGCAATGTTGTCAAACTATGAAAATTTAAAAAAATAAACATTCTCTTTGAAAAATGAAAAATAGGCATAAAGTTTCCATGAAAAATGGAAAAATTTTGCGATTGTGTTTCTGAAATTTCTTTCCTTTGTGATCTTCATACTGAAATAAAGTTGGCAACGTTGTGCTGTCGAAAGTGTCAATGATTGATAGTGGCTACGAAGCAATGTTGCCAAACTATGAAAATTTAAAAAAAATGGACATATTGTCTCTTTGAAAAATAAAAATTTACCATAAAGTTTCTATGAAAAATGGAGAAATTTTGCAATTTTTTTCCTGGAACTTCTTTCCTTTGTGATTTTCATACTGAAATAAATTTGGCAACATAGTGCTGTCGAAAGTGTCAATGAGTGACAGTGGCTACAAAGCAATGAAAATTTTAAAAAGTAAACATATTGTCTCTTTGAAAAATAAAAATTAAGCATAAAGTTTCCATGGAAAATGGAGAAATTTTTTTGTGTTTCTGAAATTTCTTTCCTTTGTGATTTTCATACTGAAATAAAAATGGCAACGTTGTGCTGTCGAAAGTGTCAAGGATTGACAGTGGCTAAGAAGCAATGTTGCCAAATTATGAAAATTTAAAAAATGCACATAGTCTCTTTGAAAAATAAAAATTAAGCCTTAAGTTTCCATGGGAAATGGAGAAATTTTGCAATTTTGCTGTTGAAGTTTCTTTCCTCTGTGATCTTCATACTGAAATAAAAATGGCAACGTTGCGCTGTTGAAAGTGTCAATGATTGACAGTGGCTATAAAGCAATGTTGCCAAACTATGAAAATTAAAAAAAATTGACATATTTGTCTCTTTGAAAAATAAGAATTAAACATAAAGTTTTTATGAAAAATGGAGAAATTTTGCAATTTTGTTGTTGAAATTTCTTTTTTCTGTGATTTTCATACTGAAATGAAAATGGCAACGTTGCCCTGTTGAAAGTGTCAATGATTGATAGTGGCAATAAAGCAATGTTGCCAAACTATGAAAATTTAAAAAAATGGACATATTGTCTTTTTGAAAAATAAAAATTAAGTATAAAGTTTCCACAGAAAATGGACAAATTTTGCCATTGTGTTTCTGAAATTTCTTTTCTCTGTGATCGTCATGCTGAAATAAAAATGGCAACGTTGTGCTGTCGAAAGTGTTAATGAGTGACAGTGGCTACAAAGCAATGTTGCCAAACTATGAAAATTTGAAAAATTGGACATATTGTCTCTGAAAAATAAAAATTAAGCATAAAGTTTCCATGGAAAATGGAGAAATTTTGTTGTGTTCCTGAAATTTCTTTCCTTTGTGATTTTCATACTGAAATAAAAATGGCAACGTTGTGCTGTCGAAAATGTCAATGATTGACAGTTGCTACGAGACAATGTTGCCAAGTTATATTATTACTTATAGGTGTAATGTTTTTTCTTTTTCTTCAAAATCCCATAAAATTTTCAGACGGCACAAAGTTTCAATGGAAAATGAACAAATATTGTAATATGGAAAATTAATTATGTAATTGAAAATTTCACGCTTTTGAACGTAAGAAAGTATAAATTCTAGACACTCACAAGCAAAAGTTGAAAGATTGGAATTTAAAATCCAAATTGACAATGTTGCGCTGTCATTAGCGAAACAATGTTGCCAAACCATGAAAATACATACATTAAAAATCCAACAAAATTTCCACTGAAACTAAACAAGAAGCATTCATTCGGAAATTGTTTTTGTGTTTTTGAGTTAGGTGAAGTTGGCATTGTCGCGTTGTCAAACTTGACAGTGACATTACGAAACAATGTTGCCAAATTATGATCAAAATTTAAATTATTCCCGGCTCTCAGATTTCTTTTATTCAAATGCCGGTAATAATCAAAATTTGCACCCTAGTAGAGATGTTTTTTAATCTAAATTTTGGAACCCTTGCACTGTCAAAAGTGTCCATGACTGACAATGACAGTATGAAACCATGTTGCCAAACTATAAAAAAAACAAAGTAAAATCCTTAGATTAGGGATTGTCAATGATTGACAGTGATTACGGAGCATTGTTGCCAAACTATGAAAATTTAGAAAAATGGACATATTGTCTTTTTGAAAAATAAAAATTAAACAAAGTTTCCATGCAAAATGGAGAAATTTTGCAATTTTGTTCCTGAAATTTCTTTCTTTTGTGATCTTCAAACTGCAATAAAGTTGGCAACGTTGTGCTGTCGAAAGTGTCAATGATTGACAATGGCTGCGAAGCAATGTTGCCAAACTATGAAAATTTTAAAAAGTAAACATATTGTCTCTTTGAAAAATAAAAATTAGGCATTAAGTTTCCATGGAAAATAGAGAAATTTTGTTGTCTTCTTGAAATTTATTTCCTCTGTAATTTTCATACTGAAATAAAAATGGCAACGTTGCGCTGTTGAAAGTGTCAATGATTGACAGTGGCTATAAAGCAATGTTGCCAAACTATGAAAATTTAAAAAAATGGACATATTGTCTCTTTGAAAAATAAAAATTAAGCATAAAGTTGCCATGGAAAATGGAGAAATTTTGCAATTGTGTTCCTGAAATTTCTTTCCTTTGTGATCTTTATACTGAAATAAAGTTGGCAACGTTGCTGTCGAAAGTATCAATGAATAACAGTGGCTATGAAGCAATGTTGCCAAACCATGAAAATCTAAAAAACTAGACATATTGGGTACATTCAGGCGGTCCCAGCGGCTTTGCTCAGCCTCTCAGCAGGAACTTTATTCTCGAAATCAAGGAACAGCGTTCTCATTGGAACGAAGGTTCTGTCTTTGTCGTCCAGCTTAACACTGACAATAACAGAGTAATCGTTCTTATGAGAAGGATGTTCCTTGGTTTCGAGAATAAAGTTCCTGCTGAGAGGTTGAGCTAAGCGGCTGGGACCGCCTGAATGTACCCATTGTCTCTTTGAAAAATAAAAATTAAGCATAAAGTTTCCATGAAAAATGGAGAAATTTTGCAAATGTGTTTCTGGAATCTCTTTCCTCTGTAGACTGTAATCTTTATACTGAAATAAAGTTGGCAACGTTGTGCTGTCGAAACTGCCAATGATTGACAGTGGTTACAAAGCAATGTTGCCAAACTATGAAAATTTAAAAAAAATGGACATATTGTCTCGTTGAAAAAAAGAGACATTTTGCAATTGTGTTCCTGAAATTTCTCTTCTCTGTGATTTTCATACTGAAATAAAAATGGCAACGTTGTGTTGTCGAAAGTGTCAATGATTGACAGTGGCTATAAAGCAATGTTGCCAAACTATGAAAATTTAAAAAAATGGACATTTTTGTCTCTACGAAAAATAAAAATTAAACAAAGTTTTCATGAAAAATGGAGAAATTTTGCAATTTAGTTCTTGAAATTTGAAATGGACTATTGTCTCTGAAAAATAAAATTTTCACACGGCACAAAGTTTCCATGGAAAATGGACAAATATTGCAATATGGAAAAATAATCATGTAATTGAAAATTTCACGCTTTTGAACGTAAGAAAATATAATTTCTGGTCACCCATCATAAGCAAAAGGTTGAAAGATTTGAATTTAAAATCCAAATTGGCAATGTTGCGTTGTCATTAGTAAAACAATGTTGCCAAACCATACATTAAAAATCCAATAAAATATCCACTGGAACTAAACAAGGAGCATTTAATTCGGGATTTTTTCTTGTGTTTTTAAGTTAAGTGCAGTTGGCATTGTCGCGCTGTCAAAACTTGACAGTAACAGTATAAAACAATGTTGCCAAACTATGAAAATAGAAATGATCAAAATTTAAATTATTCCTCTTGATTTTCTCTATTCAAACGCCGGTAATAATCAAAATTGGCACCCTAGAGATGTTTTTTAATTAAGATCAAAATTCATATTTTGACACCGTTGCGTTGTCAAAAGTGACAATGACAGCATGAAACAATGTTGCCAAACTATAAAAAAAATATAAGTAAAACCTGACGAAATGTTTCTGGTATTATTGTAAGCCTAAAATTAGTACAAAATACCACACAAAAAACATTAGATTAGGAATCTAAGATTAGGACACACAAGTACCTGTTAAATCTTTTATTTCTCACAGGCCTTTTCGCTTTCTCCCTATTTTCCATTATTCTAGCCTCCATTTTGACTATTTTGAAAAAAAAAAACACACAAATAAATAAAATGTTTTCATGTATTTAGGAAAAATGTGTCATTAAAAATAGATCGTGTTGGATAAGATTCAAGAAAAACAAGATGTCCCCTATTATTCGTAATACCGATGTAATTTACCTTGTAACTTGATTAATTACGTTAATTTGATTGTTTCTTAATTGTTATTAACTGATTAATTGATTTTCTTATTGGTTCTAATAAGTAGGAGACAAAAGTTTAAAAAAAAAAAATTAATTTTAAAATAATATTCGCTAATATAATCCTCACCTTATAATGAAAATATTTTCACTGATGACACTGAAAATCTGCTTGATTCAGGCTTAAATGTGAAACTGAAACTTACAAGTTAACTTACACAATCCGGTCGCGAGAGAGACAATCATTTCCGAATGCTGTTTTATTTTCAGCAGCATCTTTCAAGTCTCCCGCGACGTTGTTTTTTGGTAATTTTATCTCTGCTGAGACATCGTTGCATTTTTATGAATTTAAAATGTTAATGGAATTTTATTAAATTTAATAAATATTCTTTATTATATAAAAAAAAAACAAGGCTTTTTATGGCAATAATAATGTCCCTGAATAAAGAAAAACCAAAAAAAAAATTTCATAAGTGAAAATATACCTATTAACATAGACTTCAAAAATTATTGAGAAATTTTTTTGAAGAAAATTACAGGAAAAATCGTCCAATATGACAATAATTGCATGCAATTGTTGTCTCATATATTTATTTCCCCCAATTCTTCATGTTTTGCGCAAACGCTCCTGCACTTCCTCCTGCTGAAACGCGATTCCTGCAAAACAGTTGGTTGTACTAAACTTAGTACAATAATGAATTTACTGCAGGATTTTTTTTTTTTTTTGAATTTCAATATTTGAATTTCGCGGCTCGTGACAAGTTTTTTTTTTACAATTGGCAACATTGTTACTTGACAATTAATATTATGCCATTTTCCATTTGTGTGCACGGAGGTGCACTCAGTGCAATTTTTATATTCCATTTGACTGCACATTTTCAGTTTTCATTTTCCATTTGAAAGGGGAATGGAAAAGTGATCTATGTGGAATTTTGCTGAATTTTTGATATTGTCAATAGGAAGTCGTCCTTAACAAAAGTGATCATTGAGAAGAGTATAAGTATAGGTAGTCAAAGTCAAAAGTGAAAAGGATAGTTATAATTTTCGGTGCTGTGAGCATACTGGTGACGTCATACTGAAAAGTATCAAATTAAAAAAGTTTTTAATTGATATCTTGAAAACTGTTGGGTATTGAACATTAGCGTAATGATCACTTTTGTTAAGGACGACTCCCTATACACAATATCAAAAATTCAGCAAAATTCCACATAGATCACTTTTCCATAAGAAATGTGTCCTTTAGTGCAATTATGTATACGCATTTTTTGGCACGAGCTAAGAAGGCTCATTGGAGAGCCAGTACAGTTTGTTTTGTTTTTGTTCACTTATACCGTACATAAAAATGTTTGCCAATTTCCAAAGAAAAAGTTGTTGCACTTTTGGATCCAATATAGGATAGCAGCAGCGAAGTTGAATTCGATGACGAAATTATTATTATTTGAACGAATTCCCCAGCTTATCAAAGTTGTTTTTAGATATTATTATTATCGTTGTTTGGAAATTTTTCTGATGCTAAGTGCTCTAAATTATTTATGAATAGTCCAATTTCTTCTAAATTTAACAACGGGTAAAACCGCGGAGAAGAAGCTGGTATTTTAAATGAATGATCATTGATCTGAAACATCGATCTGAATTTGTATGACATTTTCTTCATCAATTTTAACATTCATTTCAAATCAGTTTTTTAAATAGTTTTTATTAATGTACTCAACCTAAACCATAGAACGACAGCCCAGACTAGATTTTTTGGAAAATGCATACGTTATGTATTGTACTTAATTGTGGGAGCAGTTCCTAATCACGAGAAAGTTTCGGTTTATGCCGTTCCTACAGGGACAAGACACAGGTTTTTAACGGAGAATACGGAGAAAAACGATTTATTTAATAGTAATGTACAGTGGCGTAGCTAGGCGTCGGCGGCTCGCGCCCTAAGGAGCCTCGCAAAAAATAGGTTACCGAACCCTAAAAATTGGCTTTTTTTGATTTCCCAAAATAAAATAGAGAGAACAAATAAACTTAATCCTATACGAAACTTCTAAATCTTATAGAATTCACTGAACATTTTTATTTCTACTGCAAATTAACCTAGAAATCTCAAATCATATGGTTTTTATTTTTTCGGTAGATTCTCGGTATTTCGATAAATCGGTAATTGTGGCACCGTTTTTCGTTCTTATCACGTATTGTTGGTTAATTAAATTATTTAGAACTTTTCTCAACTGGTAACCGACCCTCCAACCTCCAAACATACAGTATTTCGCTGTATTGTACAGGGTGTTTCCTCATATTTTGACCCTTAACTACAACTCTAGCTATACGAGGTGGAAAAAAACTTTAGGTATGAAAGTTATAGGGCCGTTTTCTCAATAACAAGTCACCCCCGGGTTAAGGATAACTCCAGGGTAAACATAGCAACTGGACACGCTTACCCTGGAGTTAAAACCAACCCGGAGGTGACTGGTGACTCGCTATTGAAAAACCGGCTCGTAGGTTTTTATGTCTATTATCTTTTGCGAATGTCAAAACGGGCGAATGGCAGGTGCCAACTGACACAATGACAAACACTTGCATTTTTCAAATGGAACACCCTGAATATTTTTGGCTAGAATGATGGCTTTTTTTCTTCTGATTCAGTGGCGGCTCGTGACTATTTCAAGTGAGGAGGCTAATTACAGTATAGGATTTCATGAAATTCCTCGGAATTTTAGGAGATTTCAATTCCAAAATTCTATATATTTTTTTTAACTTTACTAAAATTCCTAAAAATTTTACCACAGAAATATCCTGAAATTCCACAATATTTTCATAAATTTTTTTGAATTTTCATGTAATTTCTTAAAAATTTCTCGGAATTCACTGAAATTTTATGAGAATATCCATGTTCATAACAGAAAATTTCTCGAAAGTCCAATGAAACTTCAAGGAATTTTCAAAATTTAATTTATTTTCATAAGAATTTTTCGGAATTTCACTGAAATTCTCTTTTAATGCCCAGGAATTTCTGGGAATATTGATGAAGTTTCAAGTAATTTCTTATAAATTCATCGAAATATATTGAAATTTCATGTTATTACATGGTAATTTTTCGGAATATCACCGAAATTCCATGTTTTTAGCTGGAAATTCCTCGGCATTACTAAAATTCAGTAAAAACTGAAATTTCATGTTGGGAATATTGGTGTAATTTCATGTAATTGTTTGAAATTCCTCCATGTAATTCATTTAGGATTTCGTGTAATTCAATCGGAATTTCACTGAAATTTCAAGTAATTCGAGAGGAATTAAAATTCAATGTGAATTCTATGGAAACTCCGCAAAAATTTCACATCTAATTCCTTTTTCAGAATAACATAATTATTCTACCGAAATTCCACTAAATTATGGAATTCTGAGATTTTAATAGATTTTTGGGGATTCCAAAAGATATTTGGGAATTTTAAAGGAAATATTTTTCAGAAATGTCAATGATTGGGTTTAAAATAACCTATAAATCGAGATTTGATAAAAACATATGGCAACGCTGCTCATGATACAACAAACGTCAAAAAATTGAAATTTCAAACCTTGGATTTTTTTGACAATCGATACAAAATGACGTCTTTTTGTTTCAAAGATTACGGCCCGAAGGGCCGGAGTATGAAAAATCAGTTAACAATGAACGGGTTCGTTCGGATAAAACTTTTGTCACACGACACTTTGGCAATATCGACAAATGTCACCTGTCAAATTTGACACATGTTCGACTTTTTTCCCGCTCTACTATAAAAGCTACGAAAACCAAACCCTGGGATTTTGTTATTTATGTCATTTTAAAACTCGACATTTTTGCTAAAAAATGAAGAAAACTCAAAGACTCGTATGTTAAATTGCCTTTTTCCGTTGAAAAGCCCCGGAAAAGTGAAAAACTCGAGGAAAAACTGGTAAAAAATTACAAGGCGTCACTTCAAAATGGCCAACTAAACGCAACGTTGCCACATCTCATTTCGGAAAACCAAAATAACATTTTAAAAGGGTTTTTTGTTTAAAATTCAATTCAATAATTAATTAATAATGATTATAATAATTAAAATTCCCCAAATAAAATAGTGAGTAAGACAAAGACAATGATTAAGTAGTATATGTTTGCAAAAACCACCGTTTTCTGAAAAAAATAAAAATCTTAAGAAAACCAACATTCCATAGCCAATTTGATAAAACTAAAGTTTTTGAATACTCCCGACTCTTTGATCGGACGTTAGAAATCGCATTTTAAATACTCCCGGTTTTCAATTAGCTCTAAATTATCCGCTCACCAATAGAATTATAAACTAGGCCCCGTTATTAAAATTACTCTAGCCCTTCGGGCTCGTATTACTCCGGCCCTTCGGGCTCGCATATAACTCCGGCCCTTCGGGCTCGCATATAACTCCGGCCCTTCGGGCTCGCATATAACTCCGGCCCTTCGGGCTCGCATATAACTCCGGCCCTTCGGGCCGGTATTACTGAGTATCCCAGATTCACAGATATTTACATACAAAAGTATATGGTATATTTGAAATCAGAAAAAAACGATCTATCATTCTAGACAAAAATATACAGGGTGTTCCATTTGAAAAATGCAAGTGTTTGTCATTGTGACAGTTGACACCTGTCATTTGCCCATTTTGACATTCGAAAAAGATGATAGACATAAAACCCTACAACTTCCATATTTAAAGTTTTTTTACACTTCGTATAGCTAAAGCTGTAGGTAGGGGTCAAAATATAAGGAAACACCCTGTACATTCTACAGCATTTCGAAAGTCTATCCAACATTTGATTTTGCACAGCAAACAGCAAACATAAACATACTAACATATAGGGATTCGGAAATTAATTAGGTTTCCTGAAAAATTTCCTGATTCCTACTAAAAATTGTCGGTCCATGTTTGCGTCATACTGTAATAAATGAGAATTGGGCGCACTGCTTTATGCTAGTGAATCAAATTTTGATATATGCAACCCAGCAATACGGAAGAATTATTGTCTCTCTCGCACTCATTGCGATTAATATAAAAGAAAGAAAAACTTCTTCATCTTCCTAACTTCAATAATCCAAACACTTCAAACAGCTGTTCTCAATAGCCGCCATAATGCAGAGAGAGATGCAAATCCCTCTTGTTTGTTGTCCTTCCTAGCACAAACCTTTGTGTAGAAACAATTACGCAGCCACCGTCTACTTCATTGTTGACACGTCAAAGTCCGCCATATTGAATTTAGAATGACGTCATTTTACTTATACTTAACGTAA